TTAGGGATCTATTGCATGTCTGTGCTGTAGTATACCTTGACGACATACTTGTGTATTCTCCTGATTTGAAGTCACACCATAACCATGTTAGGATGGTGCTCAAAAGGCTATTGCAGAGCGGACTCTACTGTAAGTTAGAAAAATGTTTATTCGATCAGACCTCTGTGCAATTCCTAGGATATATCATTACTGAACAGGGTTTCAGTATGGATCCTGCTAAATTGGAAGCTATAATGTCCTGGCCACTTCCCCAAGGACTAAAGGCTATCCAGCGTTTTATAGGATTTGCCAACTATTATAGGAAATTTATAAAAACTTTTCACCACTCATATCTCCCATAACGAAGTTGACAAAAAAAGGTCTACATCCTAGGGTTTGGACTCCTGAAGCCCTTAAGGCCTTCGAAACCCTCAAGAAGGCATTTGCCTCTGCTCCAGTGCTGCACCACCCTGATCCTTCTCTTCCCTTTGTTATGGAAGTAGACGCCTCAGAGTCAGGTGTGGGGGCCGTACTGTCACAGAGGTTGTCTTATGACAAACCCCTCCATCCCTGTTGTTATTTTTCTAAAAGGTTGTCTGATTCAGAGAAGAATTATGATGTTGGGAATAGGGAACTATTAGCTATTGTGTTAGCTTTCAAGGAATGGAGGTACTTATTAGAGGGGTCTAGACACAAAATTATGGTTATAACAGATCATAAGAATCTATCCTATATTGCTGATGCTAGAAGGTTATCTGCCCGGCAGGCTAGATGGTCTCTATTTCTCTCATGCTTCCAATATGTTATTACCTATAGACCTGGTTGCCGTAATGCCAAAGCTGACGCTATCTCTCGACAGCATGAACCAGTAGAATTTGTTAACCCGACTCCTGAACCTATTGTACCTGCGTCTCAGATAATAGCTGCTACCCGTTTGGTTGTTTCTTCACCTTTCCTTGATAGTATTAAGACATACCAAACCCAGGCACCCCTGAGACGCCGGTTGGTAAACTATACGTTGAAGCTAATGACAGAAAAAAGTTGTTAACTTTATTTCACACAGCCAAAACTGCTGGTCATCCGGGGGTTACCAAAACCTACAAGGGCCTCCTTCAACAGTTCTGGTGGCCTTCACTCAAGCGAGACGTAAGGGATTTTGTTCAGGCTTGTCAGGTCTGCACGCAATGTAAGTCCCCTAATATGAGACCCCAGGGTTTTCTGATGCCTCTATCTATACCCAAGAAACCATGGACCCACTTATCCATGGATTTCATTGTAGACCTGCCTCTTTCTGATGGTCAGACGGTGATACTGACTGTGACGGATAGGTTCTCTAAAATGGCGCACTTCATTCCGCTTAAGAAACTGCCTTCTGCGGTTCAGTTAGCTCAGGTATTTGCCAAAGAAGTGTCCCGATTGCATGGGGTACCCCAAGATATCGTATCTGACAGGGGCCCTCAATTTGTCTCTCGGTTCTGGAGGGGCTTTTGTGCTGAGATGGGGGTATCCTTGTCGTTTTCTTCCTCCTATCACCCGCAATCTAATGGTTGGCTGAACGTGCTAATCAGTCTGTGGAATTGTATTTGCGCTGCTTCACTAATGCGCACCAGGATGACTGGTCTCGCCTTCTTCCGTGGGCTGAATTTGCCAGGAATACGGTGACTCATTCGTCTACTGGCTTAAGTCCTTTTGAGGTTGCCTATGGGTTTCGTCCTTCTGTCCTTCCCGGTGCGTTCTCCGACAAGGGAATGCCCGCCTTGGACCAGCACCTCGCCTCTTTGCGGAAGACATGGGATCAAGTCCATGTTGCGCTGTCTCATTCAGCGGCTGCTCAGAAAAAGTTTGCTGATCGCCGTAGGGTTGCGGCCCCTTCCTATGTTCCGGGTGATAGGGTATGGTTGTCCTCCCGGAACCTCCGTCTCAAGGTTCCCTCGATGAAATTCGCCCCCAGATTTCTTGGTCCCTTCAAGGTGTTACGTAGGGTTAGTCCCGTTTCCTACTCCCTTGATTTGCCTCCTTCCATGCGTGTCCCGAACACGTTTCACGTCTCGCTTTTGAAACCCTTGCTGTGTAACCGGTTCTCTCGTCCCCTCGGGCGGCCCGTTTCCCCTCGAGCTGTCTCTGACGACGTGTACGAGGTGGCTACCCTTCTCGACTCTCGTGTTTCTAGGGGTCGGCTACAATATTTGGTGGACTGGAAGGGGTACGGCCCTGAGGAGCGGTCCTGGGTTTCAAGCTCCGATGTGCACGCTCCCTCTTTGGTCCGCTCCTTTCATGCCCGCTTTCCTTTGAAGCCTTCCGCTTCCCACCCCCTGGGTGGTCTTCGAGGGGGGGGTAATGTCAGGCTCCCGCGGACGGCTGCGAGGGGAGGCTGCACTCCGCTCGCAGTACTCACCCTCCAACCGTCCGCGGTCCCCTCCACCTTGTGGGTACGGCGAGCGGCATCCTTCCAGCCTCGGATGCCGCCCGCCGTTCCCTCCACGTCCCCCAGCGGCAGCATGCATGACCCTGCACGCTGGGAGACCGCCCAGGGTTATACACGCCGGGTTCAGTCACCTGACCCGGCGTTAAAGGCAAAGTGCCAGAATCACAGTGGGAGGTCTAAATATCTCCCACGTGTGATTGTTAATTCTGATTGGAAATCATCCAATCAGAATTAACCTGATGGTTTAGATACTTACCTTTCCTGTTCCTCCTTGCCCTGTTGTGGTCTTTGCTTGTTAGTATTGATTCTGAACTTGTGCTTCTGGTTATGTACTCTCTGGCTTGTTATCCGACTCTGTGACTTTCTCCTACCCTTTGACCTCGGCTTGTTTCACGTTATTCTGTCTTCTGGTTCCCCTTACTCGGCTTGTTCCTGACTATTCTTTGTGTGCTTAGCCCGGCCACTCTAAGGTCCGGTACGGCACTTTGTGTGTGTGTGTGTGTGTTGGCGTGTTTGGTTCCCCGAATCGTGACACTGACTACATATAGATACACCGACACACACACTGACACACATACAGACACACAGATACACAGATACACAACCTGACACACATGCAGATATACATATACAAACACGGACACATACAGATACACACTGACTATATATAGATACACACACAAACACAAACGGACAACATACAGATACAGAGGCACATTCTGACAGACGTACTGACACAGAGACACACACACAGACAGCCATACTGAAACACACATACACACAGACATACAGAACCACATGGACACTAACAGACTCGCACGTAGACATACTGACACGCTGACAGACATACAGACATTCTGGCACACATACAGACAGACATACTGAAACACACATACACACAGACACTGACAGATGTACACACATACATACATTTTGACACTCACAGACAGCCATACTGAAACACACATACACACAGACACTGACAGACGTACACACATACAGACATTTTGACACTTACAGACAGCCATACTGAAACACACATACATACTGAACCACACAGACACTGACCGACTCACACACACAGACATACTGACACACTGACAGACATACTGGCACATATACACACAGATGGACATACTGAAACACACATACACACAGACACTGACAGACATATTGACAAACACAAACATACAGAACCACACAGACACTGACAGACTCACACACACAGACATACTGACACACTGACAGACATACTGGCACATATACACACAGACGGGCATACTGAAACACACATACACACAGACAATGACAGACATATTGACAAACACAGACATACAGAACCACACATACACTGACAGACTCACACACACAGACATACAGATACACTGACAGACATACTGGCACACTGACAGACATACATACATACTCACACACACACAGATACTCATGCAAAATTTGATAACCACCCTCCAGTTTCTTACTTTTTTCTGGAGGGTGGCTTCCCTGGGGTCCAGTGGGCTGGCTGGGGTGGCTGGGAGTTAAGATCTCCCGGCCTGGCCCCTTCCGGAACAGCTGGTCCTCCGGCGCGGCTCTTGTTTCTGTGGGAGGAAGTGACGCACGGCTGTCACTTCCTCCCAGTGCTGCCGAAAAAGCACCCGACCGGGCCCCTGCTGACACAGGTCCACCGGGTGGCCCTAAGTGCATGGGCCACCCAATGGGCCCCCATAGTTTGCTGGCAAAAGGAGCGGCTGTCTTGGGCCCCCCAGCTGGGACAGGGCCCGGGGCAGCTGCCCCGTTTGCCCTGCGTTAAAGACGGCCCTGCTCTTACCTATTGTACTCTGTTTATACATACAAACTTAAAGATTTTCAACAGCAAAAAAATTCGAAAGGAAAGAGTAGTAGACAGAAAAACTTAAAACATTGGTTCTTAACCTTTTATGGGCCAAGACACACTTCAGTGAGAGAAACATTTTCAAGGCACACTTACTTTTTTATCTTCAAAAGCATTACTTATTAGCTATAATTGATTGCCACAATTTTGTGAATAACCATTTTAAAGTCAGCTTAAAGACTTAATTCAGTCTATTCCAGCTGATGTATTGATGTGTTTAAAGCACACTTTAAGGTAGGTAGAGGCATACCAGAGGCGCACAACTTGTGGTGCAAGGGTTGCAAAGCACCCAGCTTCAGAAGAGTAAGGGCAGCAGCAATCACGGTTTGCAGTAATATTGGAACTCGCACCGCACCTTCCTGTGGCTCCGAAGCCCACCATCTGATCATTTGTATAAATAAATACAGTTGGTGAGAGCACACAGAACTCAAAAAATATATATTACCCCCAGTAGAGTTACTCTCTGAAAGAAATACAGAAAAATAACATAGGGTAATAACGTAATGAACAATAAAATAATGTATGGATAATATGCACTCACATACGAAGAGCCAATTACAAGCTGGCTCACACTGAACGCCTGGAAATAGAATACTCCTCAGGACTGGGGCAAACTTCCACTGGGCTCTTCCCAAAGAAACAGGAACGCAGGTTCAAGTTCAAGCTTAACTTTAATAATTATTAAAAAATAAATAAACAAGGAAAGTCCCATAAAACACTGTAAATAACAAGTCCCAAAATGTCCTTGGAGTTCACCTAACGCGTTTCGGCATAAAAGCCTTCATCAGAGGTGCTGTAACTGTTCCAGGCGTGAAGCTTCTTATATATCCATATTGGCGCCAAATTTCCGCCGTATTCGCGGCATTGTACTTCCGGGTGTGACGTAAAAACGTGTCCTGCGTCATCACGTGATCGCGTCACTTCCGGTTCACTCGAAATGACGTGCAACAACCGTCATAATATAAACAAGGGTATTCTAAACGGCACACAACATGAATAGGCTAAAAACTGAAGAAATAACCAAGAAATAAATAATAAAACAAAAATAATAAAAATACATATATCATATCGATCCCAAACGGTTTTCTTATGGATAATAATTAAAACAAAGGAATAATCTAGGAGAATAAGAGAAAAATAAATTATTATGAACAAATTACTAAAAAAGGAGGAAAAAGAAAAAATAAAAACAATAAAAAAGACTAATAATTTACTATTAATAATTAAAACAAATTAATAAAATTTAGAAAAATTTATAAAGTAAAAAATATATACATTAAGTAAAAAATAGAGAGGTAAATCTATAAATAACATTAAATATATTTGTTAATTTCAAAATCCACATTCAAACCATTTGGGATCATGGTGTCCATTTCGAACATCCACTTCATCTCTGTAAATCCCAAGGTATATTCCTTATCTCCACCTCTCCAGTGATTTTTAACCAGATCTATCCCCACAAATTCAATACCTTTCGGGTCTCCATTATGGGTTTCTGCAAAGTGTTTTGATACACTATGATTAATAAATTTACGTCTTATGTTATATATATGTTCTCTAATTCTGATTTTTAAAGTGCGCATTGTCTTACCAATATATTGTAACCCACACGGGCAAGTAAGTAAATAAATTAGCCCTTTACTCGAACAATTAATAAAAGATTTAATTTTATATTCCCTTTTAGTAATTAATGACGTAAACTGTGTAATTTTTTTAATTTTACTAGTTTTGCATAAACATCCTTGGCAAGTACCACAAAAATGAAACCCTTTACTCCCTTTTAAAAAATTATTATCAATTTTATCTTTATCTAAAAAACTTTTGGTTAATATTTGTCTATTTGTCTAAAATTGCTTGCCCCTCTAAAAATGAATTTGGGTTGAGAGTCTAAAAACGGAAGGATTTCTGGGTCTTCTTTGAGAACATACCAATATTTTTTAACTATCTTTTGTAATGCTCTATTATTAGAACTAAAATCAAAAACCAAAGGAATTATCTTATCATTTTGTTCATCTCCAAAAAATTTTCTATTTTTTGATTTATATTTAAGGAGGGATTGTCTTTCTTTCTCAGCAATCTCTTTTTCTATTGTATCTAGATCTTCTTTTATATAACCTTTTTCTATAAATTTACATTTTAATATTTCTGCTTGTTTAAAATATTCCTTTATTTCCGTACAATTTCTTTTTAATCTTAAAAATTGTCCTTTTGGTATATTTGTAAGCCATGGTTTAAAATGGCAACTTTTTAAATCTATAAAACTATTTACATCAACAGTTTTAAAAAACGTCTTACTTTTAATTTTATTATTTTCAATATAAATTAAAAGATCTAAAAAGTTAACATTTTCTTTACTAATTTCATAAGATAAATTAATGTTATAAAAATTAGAATTAAGAGCATTGATAAAAAATTCAAGAGATTCCCTATTTCCTTTCCAGATAATAAAAATATCATCTATATATCTTTTGTAGAGGACCAGACTTGCCCCAATATCTGTCCTAGAGAAAATATATTTTTCTTCCCAGAAGGACATAAAAAGATTTGCATAACTTGGGGCAAATCTGGTCCCCATTGCTGTACCTAAAATCTGGAGATAAAATTTGTTCTCGAACCAAAAGAAATTATTTTTTAAAATAAATTCGATACTTTTAATTAAAAAATCTATTTGGAGATCATCCATCTCTCCTGACTTTTTTAAGAAAAATTTAACAGCCTCACATCCTTTTTCGTGTTCAATGATGGTATACAGACTTTTAACATCACATGTTGCCATGATAAAATCTTCCTGCCAACTAAAATCTTCTAAAATTTGGAGTAGACTCATCGTATCTTTTAAATAGGCTGGACATTCGATCACTTTTTTTTGTAAAAATTGGTCTATATATTGAGACAAGGGGGATAATAAGGACCCTATTCCAGACACTATTGGTCTGCCTGGAGGATTGTCAATGTCCTTATGTATTTTAGGTAATATATAAATAACAGGAATCCTTGGGTATTTAATGTCTAAAAATTCATACTCTTTTTTGGTTAAAATGCCTGTTGTTAACCCTTCGTTTAAAAATTCCTTGTATTTTAATTTAATCTCTGGAAGGGGGTTGCATGTCAGTTCCTTATATGTTTTAACATCTTCAAGTTGTTTATAAATCTCCTTTAAGTATTTATTCTTATCCCATACTACCACCCCACCCCCTTTATCTGCTGGTTTAATAATTATTGATTTATCTTTCTTAAGATCGTTCATAGCTACTTTCTCCTCTCTCGTCAAATTTTCTTGATATTTATTAATTGGCTTGATTCTTTTAATATCTTTACAGCACAATTTTTCGAAGGTTTTCATTACATCAGATTTACAATTAATGGGATAAAATGTAGATTTTTTCTTTAAACTGGTGTGAATAAACGTATCGTTACTATCAGCTAATGTATTTTCTAAAGGTACTTTAAAAAATTTTTTAAGACATAATTTTCTTAAGAACCTATTAATATCTAAAAATGAATTAAATTTATCTAAATTACAACTCGGGGCAAACTTAAAACCCTTTCTAAAAACATTAACATGTGCTTCCGTTAAAACTTTATTAGATAAATAAAAAATTCTAAAATTATCATTATCCTTTTCAGGATTTATTTTCTCCAAAAATTCTCGTTCCTCCTCTTTTTTTCCCTTTCCTCCTTTAATTCTATTTCTTCCTCTCCTAACTCCCTTGATCTTTTTAATGGGGTATGCAATTGTTTCTTTTCCCTCATTTCTAAGGGTCTTATCCCTAAAAAATCATTTGAATCTTGATTTCTAAAATACTCAAATCTATTAGAGGTCTCAAAGCCTTCTTTTCTTTTAGGAGTCCGCCTAGCAAAAGGTTTTCTACTTCTATCATTATCGGTTCCACAATCACTTTGTTTCCTTAATTTTTTAGGCCTAACTTCAGTCCATTTATCATTATCTTTAAACGATTGTCTAGGAGGATCTTCTAACTCCCTTCTGGACCGAGATCTCCATCTGGTCACTGCTGGTTGTATCAGATCTCTATCTATTCTAACATTTCTATTGTTAGGACTTTGGTACCTCCTACTCTGTTTCACTATAGGAAAAACCCTTCTTTTCTGGTAATTAACCTTCTGTTCGAATCTAATATTACCACTTTTATAATCTTCTTGATCTCGCTGAAGTTTCCTTTTTTTATTATCAATTACCTTAACCTCTATATTTTTTATCTTAATGACCATTGTATCTATAATTTCATTTAATTCTTCCATCTCTTTAAATGGTTCTAGTTGGGATTGAATTTCCCTAATGGAAATGTCTAACTGGTTTAAAACCTGTGACTTTTGTTCTATTAAAATACCTATCATATGTTTGGAAAAAGATTCCAACGAATTATTCCAAATTTGCATGAAAACTGGATTGTCTTGGTCAGATGTTGGGAGTTTATAAAATCTAAGACCTCTAGGTGTAATTTGAAGTGAAGTATACTTTTCAAACATAAAAACTTCCCATTTAAGTTTCATTTCCTTAATTAGGAGTCTTTCTAATTGTAGACAAATAACGTCCAAATTATTAGAATTAGCTCCACTAGTAGCTACATTATTACCACAACATTTTTTATCTAGGTCTTTTAACCAACCTGATCTTAATTGACCAATAGACATATTAAGAATAATTATAAATAATCACCGAAAAGTGGCTAAAACAAATAATGAAATACAAAGCGTACGGTGAAAATATAAATGAATAAATACTGGTGCTGCTGTCACCTTAGTGGGCCACAATAACCACTAAAATACCACAAGTGACAAATAAATACAGTTGGTGAGAGCACACAGAACTCAAAAAATATATATTACCCCCAGTAGAGTTACTCTCTGAAAGAAATACAGAAAAATAACATAGGGTAATAACGTAATGAACAATAAAATAATGTATGGATAATATGCACTCACATACGAAGAGCCAATTACAAGCTGGCTCACACTGAACGCCTGGAAATAGAATACTCCTCAGGACTGGGGCAAACTTCCACTGGGCTCTTCCCAAAGAAACAGGAACGCAGGTTCAAGTTCAAGCTTAACTTTAATAATTATTAAAAAATAAATAATTATTTATAATTATTCTTAATATGTCTATTGGTCAATTAAGATCAGGTTGGTTAAAAGACCTAGATAAAAAATTTTGTGGTAATAATGTAGCTACTAGTGGAGCTAATTCTAATAATTTGGACGTTATTTGTCTACAATTAGAAAGACTCCTAATTAAGGAAATGAAACTTAAATGGGAAGTTTTTATGTTTGAAAAGTATACTTCACTTCAAATTACACCTAGAGGTCTTAGATTTTATAAACTCCCAACATCTGACCAAGACAATCCAGTTTTCATGCAAATTTGGAATAATTCGTTGGAATCTTTTTCCAAACATATGATAGGTATTTTAATAGAACAAAAGTCACAGGTTTTAAACCAGTTAGACATTTCCATTAGGGAAATTCAATCCCAACTAGAACCATTTAAAGAGATGGAAGAATTAAATGAAATTATAGATACAATGGTCATTAAGATAAAAAATATAGAGGTTAAGGTAATTGATAATAAAAAAAGGAAACTTCAGCGAGATCAAGAAGATTATAAAAGTGGTAATATTAGATTCGAACAGAAGGTTAATTACCAGAAAAGAAGGGTTTTTCCTATAGTGAAACAGAGTAGGAGGTACCAAAGTCCTAACAATAGAAATGTTAGAATAGATAGAGATCTGATACAACCAGCAGTGACCAGATGGAGATCTCGGTCCAGAAGGGAGTTAGAAGATCCTCCTAGACAATCGTTTAAAGATAATGATAAATGGACTGAAGTTAGGCCTAAAAAATTAAGGAAACAAAGTGATTGTGGAACCGATAATGATAGAAGTAGAAAACCTTTTGCTAGGCGGACTCCTAAAAGAAAAGAAGGCTTTGAGACCTCTAATAGATTTGAGTATTTTAGAAATCAAGATTCAAATGATTTTTTAGGGATAAGACCCTTAGAAATGAGGGAAAAGAAACAATTGCATACCCCATTAAAAAGATCAAGGGAGTTAGGAGAGGA